TGTCCGAAGTATCTACCCTAGTACAGAGGGATGTTTCACAGTAGTGCACAGGAATTCAGCACACAGCAACAAATCACACCTTCTTCATGCTAAAATAAGATTTTCCCAAGAGCTGTAATGCTAGAAAAACACAAATTATTTCAGAAGCCATTTGTCTCTGATTAACGAATCACTACAAAGAGGAAATAAAGTCTAGAGAGGAAGTATATAGCTGTCTCAAGGACTATCCCTCAAGAATATGCTGCAACGTTAGCTCTTTGTTTGTAAAGTTTCTCTGAATACGAATCGGTTCTGTGGAATACATTACTTTGTCGAAGCTCAGTTAATGGATAGAACAATGCTCTGTATTCGATATGCCGATCTAATATCAACACGCGAACTACGGAGAGACAGATGCTATGACGGATCCCTATAAAGAACAATCGACCGCACGTGAACCCGAGTCACCCTTGTTAATAAAGCCTGAAAAGATAATCAGAAGTACACGTTATCGGATGAGATAATTATACAGCAGAGGTTTGAAAGAACGAAGTAACGTTTACAATGCTGAGATATTTGCAAAACTCCAGGCCACAGATGTGTGCGGTGGGGAACGAACGCATTATTGTCCTTTCCAGGGAGTAGCGCGTTCACCACCACACCACGCGTGTCCTTCGTTCTGCCAGTCTCTCAGCTAGCTCTATCGATCTTTTTTCCATTAGCAATCACCCGTCAGCGGGATTGATCTGAGGAACCCAAATCGGCATTGAACCCAGTTAAGCTGAGGCTTGGTTATAATCACAATCTTAACCCTTTTATTTACTGCCTTTTTCTTTTTAATGGCAGGGTATGTTGCGAAATATAACTCGTATATAGTGCTGAGATATTTGCAAAACTCCGGACCGCAGGTGTATGCTGTGGGGATTGTGATTATAGTGTGATTGTGATTATTACTAAGCCTCAGCTTAACTGGGTTCAATGCCGATTTGCGCTCCCTAGATCAATCCCGCTGACGGGTGATTGCTGATGGCAAAAAGATCGATAGAACTAGCTGAGAGACAGGTAAAACGCAGGACCCGGATGGTGTGGTGGTGAAGTGCGCTGCTCCCCGCTAAGGACAACAGCGCGTGTTCGTTCCCCACCGCATACACCTGCGGTCCGGAGTTTTGCAAATATCTCAGCATTTCATACGAGTTATATTTCGCAACATATCCTGCCATTAAAAAGAAAAAGGCAGTAAATAAAAGGGATAAGAAGTAACGTTTGTTAAAATAAGTCAGACCACGTGCGGTTCTCTTCATCACTCTAGCCTTTCGAAATGAGCGCTACCACTTCACACTGAGAGCGCGAGGATATTTTGAATTGTGGGTATTCCCGAATAAGTTTTCACCTAGATCGGTACGTAATGTTTCCAAAGCACGAATATTAAAAATTATAAGATTCCGCGTTGATTAAATAGTGACGGAGGCGCCACGTATTCGGCTTCATGAACCATCGTTGAGTAGAATGAGTGTATGTTTGCCCTCTACGATGACTTGCTATACTCACAGATGTAAAAGCTAAGTTTTGTCTTCCCATTCTGGTATCAAAATGCCAACCTCGCATGATGGGAAGCCACGGGTGCGGTATCAATGTTTGTGTGTGTATCAAGGCATCTCTAACCATTAGGCTACAAATGAAATGTTATTAGGTGTAGAAGATACGGTCACATCTTCTGTTAGATGTACTAAATACTTGGAGTATTATGGACCGAAAATGGTGCTTGTGTAATGGCACATACGAATTGATTAACGACGTTGCACAGCGAAACACTGATATGATTTTAATACTCTGCCATCAAAAAAGTAGGCAGTAAATAAAACTATTAAGATGCTGATATGGTTATTGTCCTCAGATAAGAACACCTTTTTCTCGATCAGCCGATCAGCAAAACAATGGTCGATATATAAGGACCATATTAGAAAGATTTAATTCATTATGTTAGCCGACTCGATGTAGGATGAAGTGCGGCATTTGTAGGGAGGAACGGACGCCAGCTGATATGCAGGTATGCCCTGCACCTACAATCTTCTTAGGATTTCTTGTTCTACCCTCTTTCCGAAATCCGTAAGCACGGATAGCAGCCGTAGTCAACTCCCTCCACCATCTCATCTGAAACAACTGAATCTAATAGCTCTTTGGAAACAGAAAAATACTAAGCTGCCAATAGCCATCTTAGCCCACCACTGTTAATTCTTCATGGGCTCGCACTTAGGTGGATCCGGCAATTCTAATTAGTTTGGAGTTAATGTTGAAGATCGGTCCAAAATAACTGTTCCCCCAAAAAACATCATTCGACCATTTCCTATGGCAACGAAGAATTTCTCATGTTCAGGAACTCAGCTGCAAACACAACTTTTGCGTACAATGTTTAGCCCAATATACAGGTAATTTTCCAAAATTTAAATTCTCAGCTCTCATTCCAACTTGGTTGATCCAGCTATTTTGCACTATTCTGAACAATATGTAGTACTATCACTTTCATTTCAGTTTCTGCACTCTCGAATATCGCTATTTATGAGTTTGCTGAATAAAACGATAACATTCCAGGAACCCTATGTCCCGCCCCAATTTGCGCTGGCACAAGATCATCTGATGTTATCGTCGATGAAATGGCCGGTTCGAATGATTTTTCTCAGAAAGTAGTTGGACCAAATGTTGGGACAGTGGAACAAAAAGAAGAAGATGAATAAAGGAATGAATGGACAAAAGAATGCAAAGAGAGAATGATGTTCTTCGTTGCAGGAGTTGAAGGAAACACAACGACGCAGATTGCCTTTGGGTCTCATACAATGTCCGTATTAGACTTGGAAGATAGACAAAGGTAGAAAATAGCTATGTCAGAGATAAATACGCAATTCCTACCGTAACTCTCCGTTTAAGACCGAATTTTTGAGAGTCGAAATCCAGAAGTGTGCACAAAACAGCTTCGTAAGATAAGATTCACTCGCTAACCCCAGTCAAATTCACGAAATCAAGCCCAGTCTACTCACAAGGCTATTTCTCGTCAGTGTGTATGAAACAACTAGCTGGTTATTGATAATTATTTTGATACTGTTTCGAGGTGGTCCTATCACTGAAATGATTGTGCTGAGCGACCTAAATTCTGGCTAATCCGTGTCGTACGGGATAAGCATCGATTGACGAAGCTGATCTCCATCAAAGTGTCCAACTTATTTCAGATGTGATGCCCGACGAGGAGCATTCGCATGCGTGAATGTGGCCAGAATGCATCTTATCAACTGCCGACATCGAATTTGCTATGATTGTTTAACCGAGAAGATAGAGCAGAATGTACACAACAGTAAGTCCGAGCATGAAAAAGTACCAGTAACTGTTAAAAGATTTTAGAAAAAAAACATCGCTCCAGCAAAAAAGTTATCACATTCAGCAGGATTAACAGACATTTACATCTTGGCAACCAAATACAGTTTACGGGTAGACGACTTTTTCCTTCTAAAACAGAGACGTCTTAAGATGAGATAACGATGACCTCATCCAGAATGACAGTCGCTGAAGTGTGTTGAAACATACGGCTTGACTATATGACTAACCTAGTAGTTGTAAAAAAGGCGCGTGTGGCGCAGTGGTCGGAGGCGCCCTGCAACACACACGTGGGATAGATCCCCGCGCCCATGGCCCGTCAAGCCTCCCATCCATCCGGGTCGGCAACTTGGCACCAGGCTTGTCTGGGAGGATAGCGGCATTGGCTCGATACATCGGCAGGCCATCACGGGTTATTGTAAAAGCCAGATATGCATTCAATCACCTCCAAGCGATACTTAATGAATATGAATGCATGGCGCATCCCCTCAGAGATGTCAAACGGTAAGCATTTGTGGAAGGCCAAAATCATGAAGAACCTTCTGATCGCCCCGTTGCAGTTCTCTAACAAAAACATAGCATCATTGCCATATTCATTTAAGTGTGATCTTGCACAAATACAAAAGTTCCGCACCAAAAACCAAAAATCTTGACAAAAAAAATATGGCCGATTGGTAAAATCCATTCTGAATAAATACGCTTTACAATAGCATTAGATAAAAGGCAGATGAAAAGGTGACCAGCAGATTTTCAACAATATCTGCAGTACAGGAGCGTTCTTTCCAACGTCCAGAGAAAACGAAACATTGAAAAACCTGAAGAAAGTCGGATGGACGTACTTTGGAAAAAATTGACTTGGGAGTTGACTGAGCTCAGGCGTCACTATTCCTGGAATGGGTAACTAATGTATGAGACAAATTATTTCGCAAAGTAAACATAGACCTCTGTCTTTATAAAGGAGAAACCTCACTGTAGTTCCGTTTTCCAACTGCTAATAAACTCAAGGTTGAGGTGGTTTTAGAAACTCAATGAACCATGAGAAAAACTTTCAAGGATTTCTGGGTTATCTCTTTAAGAAAAAATTTCTGGTAGCTTGTATCTCGATCGTTCATGAGAGCTCCTTTCAGATGAAGTACCACGTTGCCCTATGGCGTACTGTAGCAACCGGATATCGCGACTAGAGATTCGAACGTTGGCCTTTCGCTGTACACATTTGAAGGAGTTGTGCGTAAAAGCTGAAAAGCTGACCACAGACCAATGTAACGAAATGATAGCGGTCAGTGCGTCCACTTTCGCTCCACTTCGTAAGAAAATATGCTATGGACTCAAAACTTAATGTCTTCCCTTTTGAGAGCAAAGACGAAATCATCGTCGAAAGCTACATTTATGGAAGAGAGGCAACCAATAAACGAATAATTATTCCCAAGCTCTGTGTTATTGGTGAGTAGTAAAGCTTCACTTTATGTTCATATACAGCCTATTAATTTATATGGCTCCCCGTACTTATTTCATTCATTCTGATGTATTACAACCACCATTCATAAAAGCGATAGGATTCGCACGACTGAGCAAAACCGCGACTCGGCGAACGAACTGTAATTTTCCCTCTTTTATGTTAAGTTCTGGATAACCATGGTTTTCTATGGCATCTCAGTACAGCTGTGATAATCCTTAACAACGGAAGTGGAACGCCTATATGGATAAGCAGGAGGTTCGCCGTCCTGTCATTAGAACTCTTCCAGGACGGCTTCGATTCTTGTGATTAATCGATCAACCGATTAAGGACGATGTAATAAGCCAACTCAATACAATTCTTCAAATCTCTAAAATCAAAAGTGGATATTATGAACCCTTTTTGTTACCACAATTACTTTCTAACAATTCTAAAACTGGAATTAGAAGTAGAAGATAAGTTTCAAATCGCCGATTTCCATAAACGCGCTCGTCAACAGGCTTTAAAAAAGAACGGATTTGACATTTAGAATACATTTTGGAGGTTTCTAGAAGGATGTGACAGTTTTTACTAGCATAATTTGTTTTCAAAAGCGTTTGCTTAAAACGTTCCGTCCTTCAGTTAGCAGATAGGGCTGTCAGTGGCTGTGTTGTGGTAAGGTCCCTTCCCCACTAACGTTTCTCGCACTTCTCTACAGAACTTAACAGGATGTACTTAAAATGTTAGCTACCTTCCTGAATGGGTTCTTCGGCACAACAGCAATGTGTTCTAGTCTTTGTTGTTCAGTTCTCAGTAGTCGTATCATAATATTTATACTACTCCTATCATGATACTCGTATCGTAGATATTCCTAGTGGTTCTTACTGGTAAGTAATACAACGTTTCAATCATGCTACGATTTCAGCGGATTTGATAAACGCCATTCTCCAAATGCAACGACTCGCAAGAAACAGGACCACGTCCAGTGTTTCTATATTTGTTCGTCATGAAATGGAAAAAGGTGAGTCCTGAATCAGCACTGGAAGTCTCCCAAGAGCGTTATCCGTGAATGGCACTTGATATGTGTCGATCGACGAATGTTGGATTTAAGCCGTTAGTGAAATTGGGTTAGTTGAATCACATTGTTGCTTTCGTTTGCATAGCACTACATCCACGTGGTATAAATCCTGAGCATAACCAAATCGTAGAACTATGATCTTTTGACTGAAGAACACAACAGTTTCAGGTTTCAGGAGTATGGTCAATACAACAGATGGCTTAAGCAACATGGTGAATGAGAACTAAGAAAGTAAACAGAGTAATGGTGTGGTGATGAACGCGTTAGCCCCCCTGAAAGTGTAATAGCGCGTTCGTTCCCCACCGCAGACACCTGCGGTCCGGAGTTTTGCAAATACCTCGGTTAATACCCTGCCATAAAAATTGTACTAGGCAGAAAATATCGATACTTCCGTATGTTCAGGATTATACAAATACGAAAGACTCGTCGCTAAGGAATTTGGAAAGAAGACGATAAAAGACATGAACTGGGGCGATCCGACGTATGTGGTGGTGGACATTGACAATCAGTTGCATCGTTATAACAAGAGATGAGATTCGGAAGTAATCCATATAAATTCGAACCACATTACACCGTTATTGTGAATAATGATTTACGAAACCAATAAAGAATTTAAAGCGCCATCTGTCCAAATACAAGATTCTAACCTTTAAAGTGGATCTCTTCACAACAATGAGAAATAACTCAAAATTTGTAAAATGGGATTCATTGTGTAGTTATTTAGATACTTAGAATGCCTTCATCAAGAGTTACGATAACTCCAGCAGATTTTTTGTTCGTTTCTCGAGCAACAATCGTTCATGATGATGGTCTGCTTAAACCCGGTGACGTCAGTGAGGCTCATTCCGTAACCTCGAAATCATTCCCATCTTCGAATGCAAGTAGTTGACGTTAGTCACGAACACGTCCGCCCATCGTTTGTGCGGTCGTGCAAGAGGACGCTTGAATTATCTTGATTCGTTTCTTTTTCTTTTCTTGAGTCAACTCAGCTGTTCTTTTCGTCTATCACCTATATCTATTTTATGGCAGACCCTTCTCTGCCTCGCCATTGATGTATATTCTACTGGATCCTGAAGATGGCATAGCTTTCGAAGATCTGAGCTCAACATTCCGGCGACATGTTGCGTGTGCTGCATATATTTCAGAAAACATCGTTCAAGCGTCTGTGAGTGGTGCACAGATTTCTTGACGCGGTTAAATTGTCAGCTCACGCTGCAGGATACGATGTTGAGAAAATCTCTGAGTCGAAAAGGTGAAGGCGGAGTTTCAGATATAGTAACTATTCCCTGAACAGATCCCATTTTCTATATTATCGTATGTTTGTTATATTAACTGCTTACTTGTAATCGTACTACATCTATCCTTGCACGTTCTGCAAGTTTTCTTAGCGATCATCTCTTGCACTCGCCTCGCAACTAGCTAGAAAGGAATTCTATAACTTCTACTCAACAACTATTCTGCGTCTAACAGTTCGAGCACCGGAGAAGCAGTTGCTAGCTGCAGGCTCTCATCAGTATCTGCCGCTCCAATCTGCTTTTGTATAAGCTTTTGCACCGCTCTCACATTTAGTTTTTGTAAAAGCTTCATATAGTGCTCAAAAACATTGTAGAACCTCCCTCTGAGCAATGCCTAGCTCTTTCCATCAAATTTCGCCCATTACAGAAGGAATATAAAGTGCATTACTAGTCATCAAATTAGTGTTCCAGTGTTTGCCCAGTTTCGCTCAGGTGTTTCGTTCAGCCTGTTCGTTCAAACTAGATATTGTCAGATTGTTAATATCGTATTGTTATTATTACTATAAGCGCTTATAACCCAAGCTTGAAATTGTGCTCTGTGGCAACATCAAAAGTCCCGTGTGACAAACTCGTACAAAGTTGGACATTCTACTTCGAGCTAGTGATTATTCTGTGCCAAAGACTGACTCGAAAACCTATATTCCACTGTACCAACTAAAACATCGGATAGGTTAGCTTGACCACTTTCGCACGATGGATTTTTTTCTGATGAACTGGGTTTTATTCTCATTTACTGAGCAGCCCAATTTTCCTCTCTTTCTCGGCTGGTTGTGTCTCAACCAAATTCCTCGATACGTGTGATAGGATAATTCTCGCGAAGGGCTTGTGGAGCATGTTCGGAAAGCAGATCGATCGGTAGCTACGCAGACTTCTTCGGAAATCTTGCTTGAGCATGGTGAAGCTAAGCGAGTTCTTTTACTGGCGTAGGATTCCATCTTTTTGAAGGCAAGCTAATATACGGGTTGTGTCAAACGCTTGTCCTCTATGGTCTACAGCTTCAAGGATGTCGGCTATACAGCTATTCGGTCGTGTATCTTCACTTCTTTTTATGCCTTCAATCGCAAATGGAATTTCAGCGCGAAGAATTCGGGGTTTCCCAGCAGAGATTTCGTGATTGGGACAGAAGTGTAATTGTGGGACGGTGGTGGACAACCTCTTCATTATCAATTCGACACCACGAGAAATGTGGGTAGTGACGTCATCTTCGTTTATCAGTACTGATAGCAAAACATGGTGTCCACAAAAGTTCTGATGCCATTCCTTCAGGCCGGATTTTCTTTGTGCTGCTCATAAAATCTCCTCTGCTTGTATCGATGTAAATCCTTCAAACATCTTCTACTCGAAGGGAGCTGATTGTACTTACTATATTGTTAGCTAGAATCCATTACCTTAGGTGTTTTGAATAAAACATACCGTCTCCGATGAGATGGAAGTGTTAAGATCAAACTCGGTCAACTCCTATGCCCGAAGGCCATCCACGAAAATAGACGTCTGATTTCGTGGAGCGTGTGTGATTGCGTCCGGAGTGCATTTCGAGGACAACGACCGTCCCCTCATCGAACATCATCAGGGTCACATCCATCTCCACCTTTGCAAAGAGGCATCGATAGTTCAGAGGTTTGCTCTCTGTCAGTTTTTCTTTTTGTCCATACTTACTAAACTAATGTCAGTTTCTGTTTATGAAGTCACATTACTGCTAATCACTGCCTATTTTTGCTGATGGGACGTGGTTTTCCGTTCCAAGGTTCTAAAGTTTAGAAGATCAATCAGAAACAGAAATGCTGTTGAGATCAAAAAATAGCTATCAGACCTTGGTGTTATTGTTTATAGCAAGTTTAGAAGAAAGTTTAGAAGAAGGGGAAAGTGGACAAAACCTAAATCTTCCCGTAAATGCGCTTTATAAAAGTCTTTCCTAGGGGTTATGGATGTTTATGTCCAGTCTCATATAAATTCCTGTATTGTTGCTGAGGCCCATTGGGAAGACAAAAACAGTAGTTGTTTCAGTAGCACTTATTGTATTCATTTTGTTTTCGTATTGTTCATCTTTTATCTTCTGTATATTAAAAGGATGCCTCTGGGCCTCTTTGGCTCTCATTCAAAACCCCAGCCGTTAACTAGCGTCGATAGTGGTGGCCACAAAGAGAAGAAAGAAGGGCCGGAGAAGGATGGTCGTGGTACGGTGCTTCGCTTAGAGAGGACCACTGTAACTATTGAGAAGAAACTTGCTGAGGGTGAGTGACGAGTACAGTTTGTGTCTGGTGTCGAAGTCCCAGGATGTCTGCTCAGTCATTCCGTCTTCAAAACAAATGTACTTGAATTCTTTTATACTTTGCTGGCTACATTTGCTTTCTGTGATGGCAATTTCAATGCCTTCGGTGCAGATCCTGGTGCTCATTGGAATTAGTACACGTTTTGAATTTGTTAAAATAGTCCTTCAAAGGGCGCGTGTGGCGCAGAAGTAGGACGCGCCCTGCAACATATGAGATTGATTCCCCACGCCTCTGACTTCACTAATCCTTCAATCTCTCCGGCATCGGCAAATTGGTACGACTTGTCTGGGAAGATAACACCACTGCCTCGATACATCGGTAGGCCACCGCGAATCATTGCAAAAGCCAGATATGCATCTAGTCACCTCCAAGCGATGCTTAAAGAAGTCGAATGCTTTGCGCATTCCTCAGGGATTGATAAATGCTGAGAGCTCTATCATTTTTAATCCTTCAAACTAGATGTGGTTAAGGAGTTTAGTTACGTAGTCGTGCTTCATTTGAAGGGTAAAATGTTAAGTAAAGAAGTCCATAGTGGAGACTAAAAAAATTAAACAGAAAAGAGACATATTGACTGGTTTGGTCACTGTTGGTGGTTACTGTTTGCTTTGCTTTCTATTTCCTTAGGTTGTTCATTAAAAAAAGGTGAAGCTCTAGACGTCGATTAATCTCTTAAGGATGTGCAGTGCATTCGACTTCATTAAATATCGTTGGAGGTGGTTGGATGCATATCTGGCCGTTACAATGACTTGCGGTTGCCTACCGATGTATAGAGCCGGTGCTGCTATCGTCCCACACAAGTCTGGCGCCAATTTACCGACGCCAGTGTGCCAGGGGCGTGGCGTGGAAATCAATCCCATATGTTGCATAGCGCCTCCTACCACTGCGCCACACGCGTCCCATTGTTCATTAGATTTTTTATTAGAGCTTAAAGACATAGTTGGCAGTCGAAGTGCTAAGTCTTTATTTAATAACCGGCCTTACCATAATTTTTTTTCCTTTGAGGAGGATTCGCGATAGTATACCTGGTGACTGACAAGCACAACCGCCAGTATGCCTTGAAACGTCAGTTTATCAATGATGACAGCAAGCGAGTCGATGCATGCCGACGAGAATATCAGATTGTTGTGGGTTTTTTATTTGTACGTTACTGTCTTCATCCACAATACTAAACACTACGAAGGAAGGTTTACGAAGTTTGAGATCCTTTGATGTAGAGAAGCAAACTGGAGATGATCATGATTATTCCTATGTTTGCCAACGACGTTTTCAGTGATAACATTTAGTTGCTTGTCAATTCTTGACAACTATAGCAATATTTCTGGAAGTTTTCTGTCCTGTTTTTGTTCTTTGCAGTTGAATGAAGTTTTTGTAGAGCAGTTTGAAAGGGCACAAGAACATCGTGAGTTATGTGGACCATATTCTCTACAAAAATAAGTTTGGTATTTATGACTACATGTTGCTAACGGCATACTATAAGAGTGAGTTACTACGCTTCTTCTTTTTCGTTGATTTAATTTCGTTTAATTACCTAATCCTAATTACTCACAAATTTTGCTACTTTCAAAAATCTATTGATTGACCTCTCACTACCAAGTATCCATTTTTGAAACGTGAAAGTTGCACTTTATTTTAGTTGATATAATCTTTTGTTTTTAAATGTTCCTTAAATAATGTTATACCTTTTTATTTTCTGCCTATTATAATTTCGCGGCAGGGTACTAAGCGAAATACAACCACAACGTTGCTGAGATATTTGCAAATTATAGTAGGCAGAAAATAAAAAGGTATAACATTGTGATTTCAACTACAGCCGCAGCTTAACTAGGTTCTATACCGATTTGGGCGCCCTAGATCAATCCCGCTGACGGGTGATTGCTGTGGCAAAGATCGATAGAAATAGCTGAGAGACAGGCGAAACAAAGGACCCGCATGGTGTGGTGGTGAACACGTTACTCCCCGGAAAGGACAATGGCGCGTTCGTTCCCCACCATAGACACCTGCGGTCCAGAGTTTTGCAAATATCTTAGCAACGTTGTGGTTGTGTTCCTTACATAGTTTTCTTTTGTCTTCATAGTGCATTGGACTCCTCCCACGGTTCTTAGTGCCTCATCATGACTGGGAGGTGTTTCTGGACGTCGGGCTGCGATGTACGGCGAAGGATTCATCCCCCAGCAGGGTCACCCGAACTGAGGAGTTCGGCGTTTCCATCAGGAACCCCAGCCAATAGTAAACCAATACCAGGATCCACCGCCGTCTTGGTAACGGACTAGTCGCAAAGTGGCACATCTCCCTTTGAACCACAAGGGCGGCGACTGCATATGGTGGTGATGACTTGAGGCAGACTTTGGCCATGCTGTCTTCGGGACTGCGTGAACAATGGCAAAACTAGCAAAACTCCGAAAAATTGGAAATACTGGGGCTTATACAAGCAGTGAAGACGGACCTTCCAAGTATCGAAGTAAACCACCTATATCACCTGTGGTCCCGTTGATCATCGAGTGACTCGAACGAGGCCAATAAATCTTCCATTTTTCTCTGTCGCGTGTAAGAGTAGCCCAATGGGTTCTGCTCGCTCTAGAGACTCGTCGAGCATCATATCTTTCTTCAAGGCTCTTTGTGAAGAACTCTGACCATCGGCTCGATGGTCTTTCTGCAGTACGTTTGACATCCCGAGAAATCTAGTCACTAACGGCTCTTGTCCATCGGTTGTCATTCATACGTATTACGTGTCTGGCCCACCTTATCTTCGACTGTTTGGCGTACAGAACGGCATCCTTGATTTTTGATCATTGACGTAGATCGGAGCTTCGGATCCCATCCCTTACTTGTGTGGAACGGGACACCTCTAGCATCGTCTCTTGGACTGCGCGTTCGATAACACTGACTGACCTTTTCTGCTTACGCAGCGACCAGGTTTCTGATGCGTACGTTACGGTAGGAAGTACCGTTGAGTCGAAAAGGTGGGCACGGAATCGGGTGTTCTTCGTTTTCTTCACTACATCCTCGATGCT